CTAAGCAAAATTTGCCGTGGTTGATAGATGCGTTGCTGTCTGAGTTGGAGTTTGAGCATTGTGCTTTACAGGAGGGCAAGTGGAAGGAGAATTTCTAAAATGACTGCAGCAAGGTTCCTCAGAGTTCTGCTACCAGACACCTCTAAGTTATCCAAAGACTCCTTATGACTACATAAGTCAAAACCGACACCTTAAACCTGAACCAGAAATCAGTTGGTAGCTAGTTTAGAACAGGAAGCCCCAAGATAATAGTCTGTAGTTGAGAAATAACCACTTGTGCACAAACTGCAGTTGTATTATTTAGCAACTCTGTGATGTAGCTCAACCTGAAAATGACAACAACATGAACAAAAGTAGTGAGGTCTGTCTGGAGTTAAAAGTTAGCAGCAAGTGAGAAAAGGAATGCATTGCACAGTTGCTGTGACTGAGAAATATTTGCTATGCTAATGGAGAGAGAAGCAGTGATTTTTGAGTTAATTAGATTCAGCTTTTCTTTTAATACCATTTGGCATACAGAGCAGGTTACCCAAAGGTGCAATTCTAAACCTCAGTAGAGAGGTTCTCATGGAGAGCAGGTAACCTTATGGAAATTACAACACGTAATTCATCATAGTTAATGTGGGTTTGGACTAGCTGACTGGAGAGGTCTCGCTCATATGCAATTTGATAACAGGTTCCCATTGTCAGTAAAAATTTATTCAAAAAAAGGAGGTTATAATATGCCTATTACCTCTCTTCCACCTATAAATCAGATTATTTTTTTTAGTTAAATGTCTAACGTGTAATTTACAAGCATCTCAAACATATTTTAAAAGTGCACATAATTCTTAATTTTCCATGGTAGTCTTAATATATTAAACTAAGATTTTTGAAGTAATTTGCAATGTATTTTTAGTATATCGGCATCCATTCTAGAATTAATTTTTTTTTTGTTCTGTGTTCTTTATCCTATTTCTGATTTCCTTTATCGTGAACCTCAAAATTTAGTAGCTTTAGCTACGTTATAGACACTTGCGTTCTAAGGTAATTGAGGCATTGACAACTGGTTAGACTTGTACTTAAACAAACTTCTATGCTGTAATGCTGTTCTGCTTGTATTTGTAATATTAGAAAGGCATTGGTCTTGGTCTTAATTTGTTATGATATATCTGTGAGATCCTTATCTAGTCTTTGATGACATGATGTCATGTTATTTTTCCATCTTACATGCTGTATTGAGCGCACCATGCTCACTGGAGGAGCGTTTACATAACGTTATACTTTGTCCCTGTTGTTTCAGTAGAAGGCTCCATGTTTTGTCAATTGTAATTATGTTCCACTTGGAAAACAAAGTGATTGCCCCTGTCCGTGGAATCTTGTCTTGTGCTCAACTATTTTCACAGCTGTAGCAGATGAGGAGGTGATATTTTTCCCAACTGACAGAGGAGGAACTGAGGCAAGGAAAAGGTGTAGACAGAAGTACATAGAAATACCTGCTAACTTTAGGAATTCAGCATGAAACAATTGGGCACTGATTTTTCAGAATATTTAGCATTTTCTATCTTGGAAGCAAAGGATTGATTTCAATTTCACTGTAAGTGCAAGTGGAGCAGTAGAGATCAGATGGGTGTCTATGTGCTGCTCATTAAGATATATGAAGCTGTATTGCTCCACAGCTATTACGGTCCTTTTAGTCTTTTACTCACTGTTGCACTGTTGCAGGGCTACTGATAACTAGCAGAAAGAAGGGATGAGAGAAGCCTCCACTATGAATAATGTGGGGTTTTTTTCTATTCTAAAAGTAAATTAATACCTCGTCTGATAAGACTTGGAGAAATGTGTTACCACTGATTTCCTGTCCTCCGATTTTAAAAAGTATTTATCTAGCATTTCGCAGAACCTCTGCAATACAGACAGGAGGGTGATCCAGTATAATGCCTAAACCATATTTGTTTACCTGAATTTGGGAGCTAATCCTTTCTTCTACCTTTTTTTTTTTTTTTTTAACCATCTCATGCCTCATATGCTGTGCATGTTGTAGATGATGCAATAAATAAGGCAGGAACAGGTCAGGCTGTGTTGTCCTTCATTGCATAATCCTGATCGATCCATTCATCCATGATTTGAACGAGGTATAGATTTTTTTTTTAAGCAAAAATATGACATCTAACATTATCATACTCTAAGGCATATGCACAAAGAGGCCAAGCTGAAGATTATAGGCAACTTCCTCTGTCACTTTCTAAATTGAATGCTACATCATTTTTAACCTTAATGCTCTTTTAACATTGAGGCTTCTTTCATGTGTGTAATAGATTTCACTTTTTTAAAAAAGTAAACTGCAACTGAATTTGGAAATCTTGGTTTTGTGTATGCGTGTCTCAGTGTAGCTCTGCTTACAGGTGAGTCTTGAAACCATTTAATAGCTCTGTCAAGGGTTTGTGTCTTACACTGCCTCCATGTTCCCGGGGCAGAACAGCAGCGATCCTCTCTGCTTCCTCTTATGTCTACCTCTGTCACACTTTGCTTGGCATGCTGTTAGGATGCTTAAAATGCGTGTCCTGTTTTGCAAGTGTGCAGATAGTCAAATGTGGGTGGAAAATGAAAACTGCTGAAGTGTGTGAAAAATTTCCAGACTTTTAGCAATGAGCTTCAGAATCATTTTTGAGGGATCTCCTGAACCTATTGCAGTTTATGTGGTTACTAGCAGTGAATCTGAGTTTTTCTTCAGTCTCTTCTGGAGTTCATGTAGAATTCTCGCATTCACTCGTCCTGTTATGAGGAATTTGACACATCTGGTAACAGTTGCATGGAAAAATATTTTTATACTTCATATTATTTTAAACCAGACTCTGACTAGCTTTGTCATGCAAGTCTCTACTCCCTGAAGTTGGGCTTATCACAAGTTCTTTCCATGTTTTCTGTCTTCCTGCCCAAGATTTTTTTATTTTCACATTTCCCCGATTCCCTTTGCAGCTTGTCATCTGATGTATCTCTTCCAACCTCTTGCATTCCCACCATTTTGCTCAGTGATTGCATCACAGTTTGGATTTCTGTGTCCAGTAAGTCCTAAATTATCCTGAATCTCTCTTCATGCTCCTCAATGCTTATTTTGGTATAAGGAGTGATCTCAAGTCTGACTCTCGGTCCCTCTGCCTTGGATTCAGGCAGCTTCTTCCCCTGTGCTGAACAGGACATAGGCTTCATTCTCTCTTCTGGTATATGGATCCTAATTCTAGTGTGAATATTCACCTTAGGTAGAATCTCTGGGGAAATAAGTTCTAAGACCTCTTGCTGATTTAGTTGAATATGTGTGAAATCTCTCAGATGCTGTAATGAATTGGACTGGGACTCCCTTGGGAGGAGGGAGGAAATTCTTCCTTCTCCTGGGAGAAGACTACTGGCCATGGCCAAGGGGTTTGTCTCTGGAGAGCTCAGTGTTGCCAGCCAAGTGGCAGCCTTGTGAATGCAGAGAGATTGAGGAGACTGCAAGTTAAGAAAAGGAAGCCGTGAGCCAGGCCTCAGAGGAAGACCGAAGTCCTCCTAGGGAATAGAAGGGACCATGCAGAGCTGCCTGCACCACAAAGTCACTAGGTTGCCTGAAATATGCCTGGAAATAAGGATTTGCCATTAAGCATACAATGTGAAGTGGGAGCTTTATTTCATAAAGCCTTTCTTTGTTCTCTCTCACCTAGCCGTGATTTCCTTTTCTGTTCTTTTTTTTTTTTTTCCCCTAGAATTCATTATCCTACATGGTAGTCTGATTAAATCCTGAATTTTTTCTTTACATTAAAGAAATTCTGAAATTCCTTTCCCCCCCCCGCCCTTTTCTTTTTGAGGTGCTCCAGACACGTGCATATTCTAGCTGTCATTTTTGTGGATGCTGAAATATTGTGGATGGATTTTCATGGGGTGGCAAAACGTACATGCCTGGCACAAAGTTATTCCAAATTTGATATTTTTTGCTCCCGAAACATGGAGCTGTAAAAAATTTCTGAAAAACAAGCTTTCCAGAATTTTGTTACCCATGAGCTAAGCCATTTTGGCTGTTAGCGAAGAGAAATTAGGAAAAAAGTGATCCGAGGCAGATAGTTGGCTTGGAAAACTGCATTCAGAAGTTCTGAAATTTCGCAAGACTGTAAGAGCAGAAAGCAGCAATCTCTTACAGCAAAGATCCATAGTCCGCAGCGCAGGTGCCAAGAGCAGCATACAAGTAAATTTGAATAATACGCATTTTGCATAACGTGATGTAGGTCTGAGCTGCAGCCTTTTGAAGAAAGCACGTGTGAGATGTACTTGTTCCCAGCTCCTGGCTTTCTCTTGGTTCTGCACCGATACAGGGGCAAGGTGTTACCGTTAGGTGATCGGTGGTGTCTGTTTGCTCCGAGTTTCCGCAAGCGCACATGGCTTCTAATTTGAGAAACAAAAGTAGGCTGGTGTACCACTTCTTACAGATTGCCCCTAAAAAGGGAAGCGTCAGGCAGCTTTGAGAAGGGATTTGCTCCTGTCTTTGCGTGTTGCTCCTTTATATGTTCTAAATCTCAAAGGAAGTTTTTAATTTAGTTCTGCGTTCAGTAGCTTAAAATAGACACTGAAACTGCTTTTAAATGGGATCTACTGTTAATGTAAAGAGCTGTATCAAAACTAGTGGAGATAATGAAAAATACAGCTCAACTTTGTAACATAATGACTTTTACCAAATAAGGGAAATAAAACTAATTTAATTTACTGTATGTTGGCTGTCATCACTATATTAAAGGTTATACCTGTATTTATGAAAAGTTGCTATCTCAGTAATTTAATCAACAACCTAAGCCTATACAAAGTTCAATGTTACTTGTCTTGAAAAGAGTGAGTTCTGGTTTTGAAGCTATTTTAAATGCTACTCTAACGACAGCAGTTAGAAACAGGAATGCTAAAATTAACAGTTTAGTCATGCTAATTGATTGTATTGTGGAGGTAGGTTGTGAATTCTTAATTATATGGCTTTTAATAAACTATCTGCTATTGGTTTTGTGTAGATCATCCTTTGCAGGCTGGAAGTGCCAAGTGCAGGATAATTCAGTGAATGATGTGGACTATTTCAGCTTCTTGTTTTCAACCCTTATAGGTAATCCATGTGAATGTCATAATTCAGAATTAACAAAATGAAATTTGTTTTGATAGTCAATTGCTGGATTTTAATTTAGAATAAATGGTATACTAAGTACTTCCTGAAAGTAATTCTAAACTTGTTACTTATTTTTTTTGAGATGCTCTTTTTTTTTTTTTTTTTTTTTTTTTCCCCTCTTGAACTGATTTTTGACACCCTATTTTTACACTTGAATTGCCATTTAGGCTGAATATTTGCATATATTTTCTTCATTCTGGCAACTTTCTTTGGGAAGTATGAGGAAAACCTAAATTCAGCATATGACTTGAACAAGAATTTTTTTCTAGATTTAAGTCAATGCCTTTTATTGGCTCGTAACAATACAAATGAGTGCCTCTGGGATTTCCTGTGGACATGCTTACGCTATTAAAAACATTCCATCAGAATAAAGTAATCAAAGTACGTTGAAGTGAGCTGCCCAGGGTCAGCATGTGAGCAGTTACTTCTGCTACTATATTCTTACTTAGATATAAAAATAGTTGTATTCTGGGGTGATGCAACTTTGGGAAATTACAGTGGTTCAAATGGCATAATATTTTTGAGAAATATTTTCCAGTAACTTATCCTGTGGTAAAAAGAATGTGTCTTTTCTTTATCACCTCAGTCATTCATAATGTTCAGCTACTTTGCTTTGAAAAATTACCTTTTTTTTTCCTAAAACAGTGAAGAGAGCGTTGTACTGATAACTGAGAAAACAAAAGCAAAACCGAAGTGGCTGGTTTTGGAGCAGTAGTCCTGTTTTACTAAAACATCTAATACCTGGCTAGAAATAATTAGCCAAATGATTCTGATTTTTTTTTTTTAAACCCTGAGGTTATGTTAGAAGGTTACTGAGTACTGTGAACACATAGTGAACTGTCTTGTATTATACCTGTGGGTTTTTTCATTTTGTAAAGATACACACCTTGAAAATAGCAGCATAAGGTGGGCGCCTTACAGTTTTTATACCACATTATAGTTTAAATGGCTATGCCATCAATTTTTCAATATTTTTGTTTTCTTTCAGAAGTCAGAATTTGTATTTTGATATACGTAATTTAAAATACCAAGCAAGAGCTTTTAACAAAAAAATGTTACGCAGACATAATTTAAAAGACAGTTTTTGTCAGTGATGCTGTTGAAGTAGAACAGTGCTTGGCTTGTTTCGTGATACTGTTGTATTGCTTCTTTTTCTCTAGGGTTTTCAAGAGAGGAGTTGACTAGTCTCCAGGGCATTAGAGGAAAGCCACACATTAGCCAGACACAGCTTTCACCTGTCCGTCTTTACCTAACTGATCTGGACCAGTTTTTACACCACTGGGCTGTGACAGAGGTAATACATCAACACTAATTCTAAATGACAGCATACAAACTCCGAGTGCTCTCCATCCCTTTTCCGCAGATGCCTAAATCTTGTTGTGAGTTTAGTTGAAAAAGGAATGAAAAAATATAATAGCTGTTGAGCAGCCAATGTTTTTCTATAGCCATCAGATGATATTTTGAAGGAAGCTGCTTGAGAAGGTGAATGTTCAGGCACATAGTATGCAAAACAATACTCATGGAAAAAATGGGTAGAAGCCTTGGTGGAAGATTCTTAAACACTAATAAGATTAAGACCAGCAATATGTTTTGGCTTTCAAAAATAAATTAATTGTAAAAATACTAATTATGAAGAGTTGTCTTTGACAGTAAATTCCACTGTTAATTAAAAAGCACTTGCATTAAGTGAGATTTTAACTTGGAAGTAATATTAAGTTGGCATTGGTGGTTATTTAGAATAACTTCTGATGCTTATTTAATCAAAATTTACTGGGATTAGAAACTTCACTGTGAATTTGGTTCCTGCTCATAAGATCATAAGAACTGAAAGTTTAATTTTATTGCTGGTTCTAAAGGGATCTGAGCCACCCGATTTTATTCAGAACAAGTGCATATTAGTTTTCATTCTGGCTCAAACTCTTTTTGTTGCTTAGCCCACCATAAACCACTTTAAGGTGTGAAATCATGTTTTAATGACATGCCAATTTGACAGTATTTCTGAAATCTCTGTCATGAATACAGAAAGAAGAGTGTAACAGAAGTTTTTAGTTGTATGATTTGTTCTGCGTTTTCATGGCAATCTTTGTGATTCGAGAGAGCAGTACAGTAGGTTTTGCTCTTCCAAATCATGAAGTTTAAGTCATAATCTACTGAAACTAATGAAACTAATGATAGTCCGAGGCATATACTGCATGTGTGCTGTTATGTACTGAGTAGTATTTTAAGCAAAGTTGTTATTTGGTACCATGAGTGACACATATCTTCAGATGTCCTGCCTTCGGTCAGTTGGCCTGTGGAGCAGCTAAACTTTCTTCCTAAGTTTTTTCACTTTGTCTCTTCTGGGTAGTAGTGATGTGTTGTCTCACCAAAACACCTTTCTCCAATATTGAAAGACTAGAATGTTTTCTCTCCCTGTCCTGTACAGAACACAGGATTGTTCCTCTGTGAATGCACCAGGGAGATTACTTTCAAGTGTTTCTCAAAGGGTTGGCATAATCCCATACATCTGAAGGATCTATATATGCTTTACCTGCTTCTGAAAATGCCACCCCTCGTGTCCTCTTTCCTTCCTCTTTTTGCTTCTCTTCCGCAAATCTGTCAAAGTTGGGTGAGAAACCACACAGTAAGAATGTTTTCACTTGGGGAAGGTGAAGTAGTTTGATTGTAGATACCTTGTTTGTGCCTCAGGTTCCTGGTTGCAAGTTTGATTTACTTCTTCTGCCACAATCTTTTCAGTGTTTTGGTGCCATCAAGGAGAGCTTTTACTTTTCAGAAATTTGAGACTTGCTTTTGTTAAGTACCTTTTCCTGGGAAAGATACAAGGTGCTCTCTCAGGTTCTCAGAAACAGATGGCAGTCATTAGGCAAAGAGCTGGATATCCTTGGTTAGTAATGAAAGAGGGTTTGGACATCCTATGGAGCATTGTGCTATTTCTGCAGTTAGGTGTCAGCCTGAAGCCTTTTCTGGAGATTTAAGTTATGAAAGAGAGAATGGGAACAAAAATCCCACGCATCAAAAAATCTGTGTGTGAAGAGCGCTGAGACCTTCTAGACCTACCTCATTTTGTAGACTCTGAATCAAAGGGAGTTCTGAACTGCCGCTTACAACTCTGAACTTGAGAAGGAGAGTGGAGGCTTTTCCTCATAAGCGTCTTCATGATTGTGGAGAGAAAGTTTCTAGTGAACTGGGTTATATTGGGTACACCTAGGATGTGATCAGGAATATTCAGCAAGGATTTATGAAGGGCAGATTGTGCTCGACCAACCTGTGGGCTTTCTGCAACAAGGTGACTAGCTTGGTGGGTGAGGGGAGAGCAGTGGATGTCCACTTAAAAAAAAAATCAGATGTTTACGCTTTTAGATGGCCGTTTTCTCTGTGTTTAAATATCTTATACAGTGCTGTGTTCATTAAGTTTTCTCTTTTCCTTGTTGAGTACCACTCTCCAACCTCGAACATGTTGACCCATATTCTATTTCATGTTCAATTTGTAAAGAAAACATTCCGGGGACTGGAGTCCATAAAAACTTTGGGATTTGGAGGCTGGACCATCTTAAATAAAAGAGGAGGGGAAAAAAAAAAAAAAAAAAAAAAAGGAAAAATCCTTCTATGGGAAAAACCTTTCAGTTCAAGATTTGCCAAAAGTTGCACAGGAATACTTTTTGTAGAGCAAGTAGTTTCCACCAGGTATTGAACAAGCTGCTCTCCTCTCAAAAGAAAATAAACCAAACAGCAACACACACACACACACACCCACCCCCCACCCCCGATCTACAGCCTCTGGGGAGAAGAAAACTGCCGACAAATCATGAGGCTTTTCTAGGATGTCTTGAAAGACAGCGTGATATGACAGCTCTATGTGCATTGAGTTTCAGGAAGGTAGGTTTGGAGACAACTTTCTTCCAAGTGGACATAGTTCAAGGTATGATGCAATTTCGGAATCAAAATACTTTTAGCTGTGACAGAAAATTATTTTCTTTAAATAAAGAAGTGCTCCAGGAAATAATAAAACCCAGCTTGAGTCACACTTTTGGTGGAATTGAGTGGCACGGCTTCTGAATGATGAATCTTTCGTGCTTTCCCTTGCTGGATAATGAAGTTGATGGCGATGCTGTAACGTTAAGCAAAATACTTGTAGTAATTTGAAATACCCAGTAAGTGAGAGCAGCCCTCTGTTGGCTGCAGAGCAGGCAGCATTCAGGCCTCTATGTTGAGAATTGTTCATTTAAAAGAGTTCTCATTGTGTAGTTGTAATTCAGGTTTCCCTCATAACGGAAAAGTACTTTATTGTGGATGAAAGTAAATAAGGAACTGATGCAGTTACGATTCGACAGCCTGGTTTCCTATGAATAAATGCAACTAGTGATCGGATTATTATTAGTGCATTCATTCTCTTCTTTCTTCTCTTCCACCACTAGTTTTTGTCTAAACCATTGGCTAGTTTTTGGCTCTCTGCGAAAAGAATAAAGTTGCAAATACTAGTGGCGTGTAAGTTTTATGGAAATAAGCAGGTGGAAGAGAAAAAGACTCCAGATTAGCACAAGGCAGTTTATAGCTTGGTTTCTGCGTGCTGCTTGGCAGCAGCCAGCTGGCCAGCCTGCACGTGCATCGCTCTGGACCAGGCTCAGCAGATGCTGTGGCTTGGCCTGCGGGGGTATCAGGGTTGCGAGGCAGGAGGAGCTGGGGTTGTGGTGCTAAGGAAACGGAAGGGGAAGGGAAAGGGATGAAGGGTCCCAGGCGTGAACATGTAGGAGGGCACAGCTCGTTGGCTTGATTGCTTGCTGCTCGACTTTGCCTTCCTCTGGATTGAACACAGTCCCAGCTTTCCGTCACTATCTAGCTGTACCGTGCCAGTGAGTGGTGTGTGTTTCTAATGGTAATGAACTGTAAGAGGGAATTTAATGTATAACATATACATACCAGAGATGCAGAAGGAGAAAAGGTGTGCCTCTGGAGAAAGAGCAGGTTGTGTAAAGGAAAAGAATAACTTGAGGCATTTTCAAATGGCAGTTTGGACTTCTGGAGTGTGTTATAATACAACCAGTGCAGTTAGTAGCATGTGTCTAACCGTAATTGGTGAAAAGGCCAAACAAATGCACTTCTAATAGGAGTTAATGCTTCTCAGTGGTTTATAACAAAAACTGTTTTGAGGTGGATACTGTTTGTAACTTTTTTTGTCTAGAGAGTGCTAATTGGTATAGTGGAAATCTGAAACCATGTTATTGTGTGAGCTTTTAGGTAATGGGTGATTTTCACTGAAGGAGCAATGCTTAAGTAAAAGTGTCCCTTTAAATGCCATTTTGCATAGCTGTAAAGGTTAATCGTCATATTCTGTCTAAAAGATATGTTAAATGTGGAAATCTTTGTTCATTTTCTGGAGCAACTTCTACTTAAAATGACTTCTGCCTTATTAAAGCCAATAATTTAAAATCATACCCCTGTAGCTGAAATAGATGGGGCTCCGGAATAAATGGTTGCAGCCTTAGGGAAGAGGCTTCAGTCTTTGTTCATTTTAACTGTGCCTATAGTGTTTGTCCGTAATATTGTTCGCTCCCCTGTAATTGAATTGCTTGGCTACTATTGAACGAAATAGTGCCAACAGGAATGAACAGTTTAACAAGGTAACAGTGTATACATGATAATTTCTGTTGTTGTAATATTTGATGTTTATGACACTTGAACATTTTGGAGGGGGAAAGCAAACAATAATTCAAAAGTTCTGCTTGAAGTCGAGATTCTAGAGTTGTATCGAGCACATAACTGACTTGAAATAAAATACGCAACGTTTAAAACGTTTAAGAGCAAACACTAGGGAAGGCCAGCTGCTTTTAAGAGCAGTCTTGAATTCAAAAACCTTGAGATGCGTATAATGTAATATACTAATTTGTGTCACAAGCAGAGAAGTCTTATAAGTGAAATAGAGTTGGGAAGGCTGGATCTGCTCTGATACGCTATGGAAAATCATGGCAAATCATTAAAGATAGCAAGTCAATGCATGTAAATTAAAAGTCCTGCAAGGACGTTTTGTCTTGAGAAGTAAAAGGTGGTGTTGCGGTGCTGAAGCTTAACTTTAAGCAGAGATTAGCACTTCAAAAAATTTTGAGTTGAAGTTCCTGTAAGATTTCAACTTGCGGTCTTTATTGAGATTTTCAGATTAGAGTTACATTGGGGAGAAAAAGCAGCTGAGGGTGAAAAGTAACCCTTCTGAACCAGAAACACGCTATAGTTTTTACCCTGTTAAAGGAGGATAAAAGAATTCTGTATAAGCCCATTAGTGTTTTGGAAAACTACATCCTA